CGGCCCAGCCCCGCCGCACATGCCGCCCTCCTCTTCCTGCCGCTGTCGCCGCGAGGGGGCAGCCTACCACGCTGGCCCGGCGGCTGGATATCAAACGCCCAATCACCGCCCGCCATCGCGAAAATTAATCAGCGGCCCGTCTCCCACTGGTCGCGGAGCCCGCTAGATTTGCATATCAGAGCCGCGACAAACCAATGGGAGCAGGCGGCGAGAAGCAGGTTTGGTAGAGAAGGCAGGTCTAGCTGCCGGGTTGGCATTAAACTGCGGCGGGAGGCTTGTGGGGGAGTGGAGCGAACTATGTGCGGCGGGACTTGGGGGGGCACAAATCCACGCCTCCCCAGTAGAGATCCTGTCGTCCTCTATTTCCGAGCGGGTGGTACGTCCCAGTAGGTCGGAGGCTGCCTCTGCGTCCATACCATCAGCAGGGGACAGGGGGTTAGAAGCCAAGCGGCCTCTTTCACCACGGCCGCCCTGTGGGGGAAAGAGATGGAGTGAGTCAGTACAGCACACCCTTCACATCGCGCCCGCGCAGCTCCTGACCCAAGGCAGCTTCTGTGCTTGAAGCGAACGCCGAGCCGCTGCCGCTCAGCGGGGGGACTGTGGTAGTTCCCCTGCGGTCAGCCAATCAGAAGGTTCCAGCGCGTCTGGAGCGCAATGCATGGTGGGGCGGCGGCCGGAAGCAGGCGTCTCGCTGAGGCTGGGGGTTCCCATAGCAACGAGTCCTTCCCCGGGTGAGAGCGGTCGGGGCCGGGCAGGGGATTTGCCGCCGGGGGAGACCATGTGTGTCACACGTGGGAGTCGGACCATGCTGATATTCGCGGGGTTGCCGTGGAGGGCTTGCAGGTGAGGTCGCCGGGAGAGCGAAGAAAACCTGCAGGGTAGTGGAAATGGAGCTAAACAGCCTTGCATTATTCCCACTTGCCCTAGTGTGACTGCGAATGTCACTGGGACCTCGTCTCTCTTCTTCCCCTGGGTGTCTTTTGAAGCCTCAGACTTGCAGCTTAATGCCTGTGGTGTCCTGCTTGCACCCAGCCTGGCCACGCTTGGCCTCGCAGGCCTGGCCCCTTATTGCCTTGTATCCCAAGCTCCTTTCCTCTGCAACGTGCTCGTTTGTGCACAGTCTTCCCCTTGACCCATAAGTTAATCACTACAGATTGTAGGTCAAGGTGTTGTACATTTTTTTCTAAGCCCCTGCTACATGTTGCATATTACACAGTTTTTAGGAGAACTTTTACAATCTTTTCTCCAGTGCCTGAATCTTGTTGGTCTAATAAAAGATATCATCTCTACTAGGAGTCCTGATTGATATATTACATAATTAACTGGTTAATTACACAATGAACTTAGACCAGCCACATGTGCAAAGTAAAGGCAGCAACAAGTGCAAAGTGAATACTGTACAATTAACTAGTGAATTGCATAATAAATTTAGACCAGCCACATATGCAAAGTTATTACCACACAACAAAAATGGCCAGCTATAAAAAGAGCCAGCCAGCTATGAAGTTAGTGCTTGAAAATGTGTAACAACTCTATAGCTGGTTTCTGTCCAGCTTTAATCTGGACATGTAGCAGGGCCCTTGGGAAGTTCTGGCACAATGTGGCCTGGCAGAACCCAAGCTTGTTTGATGAGATGCTCACGCTCACTGGCTTTGCCCTCTGTGAAGCTATCTCTGGGGATTCCCTTCTGTGTGGAGTGAGGGAGGGCAGCTCCTCTTGATGTTGTGCAAATTGGTCACTAGAGGACAGTAGGTGGTCATAGCAATTCTGCCCCAACGTGCTTCAGGATACTGAGGTGGTTTAGAGACTACGTTTTCCTAGGCTTAATCCAGACTACAGCCATCACTATATACACATGGACATCTGTAGTCTGAATTAAATTTGACTTTGGTCTAAACTAACTAATCTTCACTGAGCGAGGATTAAAGTTAATGCATACTAAGGCAGTCTGAACTAGGCAATTTAAACTATTACTTAACAGGTAATGGCAGGTATCTAGGGCTTGCTGATGCTGGTGCCCACCACCAGGTGTAGTGAGTGCAGTTTTGTGGCCCTGATTGTGAGTGGCGGGCAGTGTCCAGCACCCCCTGCTGTCTCTACTAAAGAAGTGTAAAAATGCAAGAAAATCTCCCTGATGGTCAGTGATTGTCTATTAACTCTTACAGTGTAATTTGAATTTAAATTTGATTTGGACTGCGTGATGCAAATCGAAAACAGTGAGCAGATCTACAAATGGCCAGGGGTACCCAAAGGAATGAGACTGTTGTCAGAAAAAAATCCAACAAGCCATTATGCTGCCAGATGCTTCATGTAGGCACACCTGTCTCCTGCAGAGCTGGCAATAGGTGTACCACCTTTCCCAGGACACTGGGAGACAAAGCCACAAAGGCAAGCAGGCACGGTGGATCGGATCTTTCATGTCAGTTCCTTTTCCCCAGTCTCCTTTTCAAGTCCTTCCATCTACTGCCTAGTCCATGGGGTGGCAGAAGTCAAATTAGGCTGGTTAGATGATTTCAAAACTAATTGCTACTGATCAACAGATACCTTCCAAAATTAAATCACATGGAATTAAATTCATGTTAGGATTTAGAAACCATTTAGTAGCACGAGAATCACCCACCCAAAGATTGGAGGAGGAGGGGTGATTACCAGGGTCCCTAGTGTTGCCAAACAGATACTTCTTAACAGCAGTAAGGAAGCAGTAAAGGGGCTATCTATGCCATGGAAATGAAACACCAAATTACTTGGACCAATTTAAATTTAAAATATTAAAAACTGAGGGTCTCTTCCTATCTCTGTAATGGGGAAACCTCAAAGAAAGAGTATGAACTTTACTGCTCTTTCCAGGGGAATGTGCAGTCTGAAGACAAAGGCCCTGGACAGATCCCAGGATCTGGGCAAAGTTGGGACAAAGTAACTCTAATCAGCAGCATGAAAGAAGCCGGTAGCTTTCATAGTTCTTTGGTGGTGACTCTTGCTGGTTACTTAGAAAAATAGGTTGGGGAAATATTATTAGACGATTGTTAAACTGACCACACATGTAAAACCCAATAAATCAAACGACCATTAAACCAACTGCAAAACTTCTAGTCTTACTCAGCTAATGAACATGTCCTCTCACAGACTCCTGTAACATACACAACATGCTGCTTGTTTCTTTTGAGTTTTAAAATGCATATGACGTTTGAAATCAGAACTCGTGGCAGAGGTGATATTTTTTATTAGATTAACTGGATATTTGCAAAAATATCTTTATTTGCTGATTCCTTTTGCTTGTAGACCAATACATCTACAACCTGTAACCCTACTGTAACCCTATGACATTTGCTATATTTTGGTGTGTGTTGCAGCTCTCCAGAGGTAGGAATCAGAACTACACAGCTGCATATCATAGGCCTTGTACTGCTACAAGGTAATAAAAGATTCACAACCCTTTCATTTACATTTGGAGCAGGACCTGTTTTATTTTCCCTCTCCTGCTGCAAAGTTACTAGGGCTTATTAGATTTAGTATAGCACTATCATTAAAGAAGGGTAAAGTCTCAATACATGTAGCAACCCAGGGACTTTTATAAAAGTAATTTTTTACATGCATGTATAAATTGTCCTTTGAAGTGTGCTCCATGTTGGCTGAGCATCAAGTGCTGTCCCAGGTTGTAAAAGTAGGACAATACATTTAGAGAACCTGAATAACCCAGTTGTACCTCCCACTGGGACATGACTGAATAACTGTTGTTGCCAGTTAACTATTATACATGTGGCTTAAATCACTTCTACAAGGCATGACCCAAATGAAAGGTCTGTAGCAACAAAAATACTCAAGTAAAGCAGGTTGCCTAAGTCAGATCACCCATATCCTAGTTTGCCCTGCCCCAGACTTGTTCTGTGCCCTTTGTTATCTCCTGACTTCTCTTTGCTGCTATTCTCTAGTGTAACACTATCTCATTATTTAAAGGGTTAATTGTCTGCCACAAGCTGTTTGAGACCCTGTGATGCAAGGTGGTGTGAGCTGTCTTGTAATTCATCGGCTTCCAAGACGTATACTTCTGAACCTGGTTTAGTGAGTGCTGTTGCTGCCCCGGCTTTTCTATGTAAATGACCCTGAGCATGGCAAGAGTCAGTCCTGCTGCAGGCGCAGTCTGCTCTGGAAGAGTTCTGCATGTTCGCAGACAGGAAGCTCCTTCCTTAGGCTTTCTGGGACACTTGGCTTCAGTCAGGGCTGGAAAATCAATGTGCTCAAACACCACCAGCAGCTGGATTCCTGGCTGCATTCTGCCCTGCCTGCCTTGGATCAGGAGTTGCTAAGAAGGGTCTGAGCAGACAGACCTGCCTTGTATATGTTCCTCTGTGTGGCAGTTTTTTTAACTCCAATAAATTCCCAGAAACTCCCAGCTGTGGCTAAGTAGCACTTGTTCTACTCCACTTCTGACCAGTCTGACTTCACCTCATTCTGGCTTTCTCTTCCACAGATGAGCTGCCTGTACCACTCAACCTGGTATCCAACAAGTTGGCTTTAGTCTCTCAAAGCATTTCTAGGGTTCTGCTTAAAATCAGGCTCTGAAGCTTTGCCCCTTACACCTACAAGCTGCCCCCCCAGACCCTTAGCATACTCAGAAGCACCTATCCCTATGGCAGTGGTGGCCTTAGGGTTGTTGGGGCCCTGGGCAAGAGAGTCATTTGGGGCCCCTTAGAGGTTTAATTTTGATGACCTATAAGCAAGTCGGACATTTTTTAAAATTTAAATTTCACTTTGCCCTATCCGTGAAACTGCAGTGAAAGTATCTTAATACAATATTGATAATACAAAGAAAGAGTTTTTTAACATTGAGCTATATTTTAGTTTCATTGTAGGTTCAAAATTTTGGGGGCCCCTAAAGTGTGGAGCCCCGGGCAGTCACCTGGTTTGCCCTCCCCTAAGGCCGGTGCTGCCTAAGGGAGTGAAGTTGTATTAAACAGTGATGGGGCCTGTCCAGGCAAGCCACAGAGAAGACAGCATCTCTGTGCTTCACTGATAACTGGAGCCCTTGGAAGTAGCTGAGATCATAGCTGCCAGGGGCTTTTCACATAAAGTGAACTGAATTCCCTGTTTTTCTTTCAGTTTGGGGAGGAATTAACTCTCCATAACTCCCAGGCTTTTCCACTTCCCCTGGGTGCCCAGCACCCTCACTGCTCCAGTGTAGATTTCAGTGCTCACTCACTAAATTCATGTTTTCACGGCCCTAGAGAGAGAGGATGTGAGCTGCCCCAGTGCACTTTGTGGCATTAAGGGATGAACCTTGGAAAGAACTGGCTTCTGTTTCACCAGTTTGGCTCTGTTTGTTCCAGCCATGATCTTACACTAGGAATTTTTAGTGTTAAATGTGACCAGTACAGACAGATGCTGGACTGAGTTTGAATCCCATAGCTGGGCTGATGGAGGCTCACTGGGCATCAGCCTTATCTGTGGTAACACGCAAACAGCAGACACAGTACCTCTGTCTCTCTGGTGGGGATCTGGTACATGAATTATTTCACATTAGTGTGTGGCTGTGAGCCGGGACTGTCAATATGACAACTAACACCTTGGCGTATTCAAATGGAAAAATGCAGGAAGAGCCCTGTTTGTGATACCCTGAGAACAGATTAAACACCCCCGTGCTGGACCCCTGCCCACTACCCTGACAGGCCTTTGCAATCTTAATGGGACAAATTTCCTTAGATGCCATCACCCTGTGGCTCAGACTGTCTCAGAGCCTGGAGGTATCTGATCAAATCCACTCTAATCTCCATTTCTCTGTTGTGCTTGTGACCTACCAGGTGTCCCCTTAATTCAGTTAGCAAGAGAGTGAAAGCAGCCTTGCCTGGAACAATGCCATCAGGTTAGCAGGGCAGGGGAGGCTCTTTAGGGCTCATTTGTACTGATTACAGGGGATCCCTGCTAATCCCTCAAGATTTCTCCATTTAAACTCTGAGGATCTTAGGTCAGCAGTGGAGCAGCTAAGCACTTAAACTCCTTGTGTGCCACAAGTTACTGCAATGAGTCAGTCAGGAAAGGGAAATGCAATGGCTAAGGGGAGAGCCAGTCTGAGTCAGTGCTGTGAAGAGGCAGGGGTTGTTTGTGGAGGGATAAGCACCTAGATGACAGTAGTTTGTTCATGACTTCAAAGCCCTAGGGAATCAACTCAGTCCTACCATCTTGCCAAGGCAGAAGCTGCCTTCCAACCCTTGTGGGGAGGATTTAAGATTACGGGACCTGCAAAACATAGCTCCTTTCCATTCTGCATGGATGCTAGATATCTCCTAGCATCTGCATTCCTTGATGGACTTCCTTCCTCCTGGTGGCATGTTGGTGGTGCTGCACGTCTGTTGTTTGGAAAGTGCCTTGGGTTCCTGGGCAGGATGATGCCACTGGCATGGTTTTGTCATGTTACTAATGAGGATCAGAAGTGCCTGCACCTGCTGTCACAGGTGAGGGATGTGGATGGACAGATGTTGCTCAGCCACAACAGACCTGAGAGATGGGTGAAGGATGAATGCAGGGAATTCTTTTACACTAATCTTGAAGCAGTCAGGTTTGTCTGGGGCATAGGGGCAACCCCTCCCCGTAGGCTGTAGCTGGGAAACATTCCCCTGCTGTTCAGAGCTGTTGCTCCGTGCTGCACGGGGGTTAATGCAAAGCAGGATCACTGTGGGGACTTGGAGGAGATTCTCTGGGGCTGTAGGGATAGATCCACAGGAGGGCTTTGGCCTATCTTATGTGTTCAGTCACTAGTGGTGCCTCTGCCTCCAGGGAGGGCATTACACACCAAATATTGAGATCATGCTGAAAGAGAAGCTGCTTAACAAAGCCAATAGGAGATCCTGATGGCAGGGGCATGTCCTGAGTCCTACCCCTCAGAAAGACTTAGACTGTCCAGACTGCATGCTTCTCAACAGTGTAGCCTAGCTTGTGCAGGGCTCTGTACTTCCGTGACTCAAATGCTCCTGATACCTGGGTAGAGCGGGTGTCTGCACAGCAGTGTGGTGTGCAATGTCTTTATTTTAAGCAGAGTATAAGAACATGACATGGGAGTGGTCAGACTCTTGAGGTAGGTGCTTTAAGTATTGGCTACCTGGTCAAGGTAAGGACACTGTCTCTTCTGGCCATGCTTGTGCACACCAGGACTGATGGATGTGTTCTGAGAATGCCTACTGACCAGGCTTGCAGGTGAGTCCTTCATTCATTACTAGACGGAGCTCCACACCTCAACTGAGTAGCAAGCTGCTCAACACTGTCAAGGCCTAAGCCAGGGCTGTCCAACTGGTGGCCAGCAGATCACATGCAGCCTGTGAGGGGTCAGTTTACAGCTTCCAGGCTCCCAGGCAGCCACCGCTCCTGCCCTTGCTCTGGATGTAGCAGCAGCAGAATCAGCAGCTAGGGGCTCTGCAGTTCCCCTTCCTCTTGTTTCTGCTTCCTGCCCTTGCCCCAGGGGTCAGGGCAGGATGGCGTGGCACAGCCTCGGGGAGCCTGCCACCTAGGGTACCTGTGCTGCACTGCAGGGGAAGAGGGACCAGGATGTGTACACATGGTGCAGCAGGAACGGGGGGGGG